TGTGCCAGTCCAACCAAACCGATGCAGCCAACCCAGGGCCTAGAGTCCAAGAGCGGCCCAGCTCCCGCCACCTTGGAACTGTGGAGTCATTTTTAGGCCTGGCCAACGCTTCGTGATGCATTTGAGACTTTCTTGGCAAAGACACTGGAGTGGTTGTCATTTCCTTCTCCATGTTGCTATACAGATGAGGAAACTGAGGCAAACAGTGAAGTGACTTACCCAGGGTCACACAACCAGTAAGTATCTGAGGCCAGATTTGAACTCAGGAAGACAAGTCTTCCTGACTTCAGGCCCAACACTCTGTGCACTCTGGTGCCACCTTGTGGCCCTCATTCACAATAGATAAGCTTGCAATCACTGTGGAATCATTAAATTTCATTTTTCCTTTTCAAAAAGTTGCCTATAAAAGGCATTTCTTCTGACTCCCCCCCCCACTCCTTTTGGACGTCTCTTTTACCCTGTCCACTAAGACCCTGGAATCTTAACGATCTGATTAGTGGGAGCAGTAAAGAGGAAGTCACCATTTGGGCTTAGAGTTGTGAAAATGCAACAGGGAAAAAATGCCCTTTAATAAAAGGGCAAAAAAAATATATCTGTATATGCAAAGGGATAAATGTATACATAGGGATGTTTTCCCCATGGAAGCAGATAGCCTGACTTAAAAATGAGATGTCATTCCCCTTGTATCTAGGGCAGGAAGTTAAGGTTTATCTCCATTGAAAATGAGGACAAGAATTTTGTGAATGCCTGTGCTTACAAAAATTTAGGTAAGAATTCAAACATTTTATATGCCGAATTCTAAGAACATTTGCTCATTTAAAACAATTAGTTGTTTGATTTTTGTCTTGTTTTCTTAATTTTGGTTATTGTTTATGGAATAAATTGAATCTTTTCTCTAAGTTCATCTTCCTTCTTCCCCTTATCTTTCCCCAGTCAGGAAGATTGTTTCACAATTTATATGGAGCAATTTGTGAATTTGCTTCCTGGATGTGTGGTATCATTTGCATGAAGCTAAGTGGTGGTTTAGTGATTTTTGAGATCCTTGGCATCAACTTCTGACAGCTGGGTGGGGATGACCCCTGACTGGTTCCCAATTTTGTTTTAGGTTTTTGATTGGAAAATTGATCACATTGAATTAAAAGATGTTCAGCCTATCCCTAAGTTATTAAATTTGAAGTTTGATGGTTGCAGTCAGCATGGCTAAAAATAAATGTTTAAGTGATGACTTCTTAAGCTTTTTTTCCTTTTAAAGGCCTTCTGCCAGCAATTTTGGGGTAGGGATTAGGAATCCTGGGGTTGTTGTGATATGGGAATCATGGACTGTGATGGCCTAAGGGGCTGCCTGGCATCCTGAGGGCAAGGCACAGCAGTGTGATGGGGCTTTGGAGAGGGATAGTGGAGTTAATGAGGGCCACAGATCCTCATTGAGGCTGTATCTTTTGCTGCGCATTTGTGATGAATTAAGAAAGGCATTCCTCTGTTTCTGTCTGCATCATCCAGCCTTCTATGCTTCTGAAGTATTGGTTTTGTGTGCTTTGTGCCCAGCACAAAAAAGTTGGAATTGAAAAGCAGTAAACAATGTGCCCCTATCCATGGGGGATGAGGTGGGGGGGCAAGACCAGGAGAAATCCAGCAGCTGCAAGACCCACGTGAAAGTTCTTCTCTCTAAGTCACTTGGTGCATGGGGATCATAGCAGTGACATTTTTTAAGAACATTTTCTTAGAGGTTTTTTCTTTCCAAATTTCTTAAGCAGTGATAGCAGGTTTTTTTGTAATTGAAATGATTATTTTCCTCTGAGTGATTGAGCTGCAATAATCTGCATCGATGGGCAGTACCCACATCAAGGAGGAGAAAGCAAATCCAAGGGACAGCTAGGTGGTGCAGTGGATAGAGTACCAGCCCTAAAGTCAGGAGAACCTGAGTTCAAATCTGGCCTCAGACCAAACACTTGTCACTTACTAGCAGTGTGACCCTGGGCAAGTCACTTAACCTGGGCAAGTCACTTAACCTGGGCAAGTCACTTAACCCCAATTGCCTAAAAATTAAAAAAACAAAACAAAACAAATCCATAGGAGTATTTGAGGGGCAGACCACTTCTTGGACAGGAGGAAAGACTATGCGGAACATTTGGAACATCCAGAAAACTCAAATAGTATGGAAGGATAAAAACCTGGTGGGCTTAATAGACATCTGAATGTATTCGCTGAGGTTTGATGTGATTGAGCCTGCTTCTAACTCTCCAGTCACATAATGTCTTTTAACAATAGTTTTACAGGAAAATGATAAATGTTGGGGAAGATGTGGGAAAATTGGAACACTAATGCATTGTTGGTGGACTTGTGAAATGATCCAACCATTTTGGAGAGCAATTTGGAACTATGCCCGCCCAAACAGCTATAAAACTGTGCATATGCTTTGACCCAGCAATAACACTTCTAGGGCTATATCCCTAAGAGATCACACAAATGGGAAAAGGACCCACATGTACAAAAATATTCATAGCAGCTCTTTTTGTGATGGCAAAGAATTGGAAATTGAGAGGATGCCCATCAACTGGGGAATGGCTGAGCAAGTTGTGGTATATGAATGTAATGGAATACTATTGTGCTATAAGAAATGATGAACAGGCTGACTTCAGAAAAAGCTGGAAAGACTTGTATGGCCTGATGCTGAGTGAAGTGAGCAGAACCAGGAAAACGTTGTACACAATAACAGCCACGTTATGTGATGACTAATATCGATAACCTTAACCCTTCCTGGCAATACAAGGATCTAAGACATCTCCAGAGGCCTTGTGATGGAAAGTGCTATCCACATCCAAAGAAAGAACTATTGAAGTTGAATTGCTATTTTTTTTCTCTTCTGTTGAGTTTTGTTTCCTTTCTGATGGTTCCTCCTATTGGATTTAATTTTTACTTACAACATCACTAATGTGAAAATATGTTTAATATGAATGTAAATGTATAGCCTATATCAGATTGTGCACCATCTTGGGGAGGGTGGTGGAGAGGAAGGGGGAGAAAAATTTTAAACTCAAAAGTATATGGAAGTGATTATTGATAAATCAAAATAAATTAATTTTAAAAAACAATAGTTTTACAACTCTGAAGCACCACCTCTCACCTATCAGATTGACTAATGTGACAGAAAAGGAAAATGATAAATGTTGGTGGGATGTGGGAAAATTGGAACACTAATGCACTATTGGTGGAGTTGTGAACTGATCCAGCCATTCTGAAGAACAATTTTTAACTATGCCCAAAGGACTATAAAACTGTGCGTACTCTTTGATTCAGCAATACCACTACTAGGTCTGTATCCCAAAGAGATTTAGAAAAGGGAAAAGGACCTATTTATTTAAAAAAAATATGTTTATAACAGCCTTTTGTGGTGGATAAGAATTGGAAATCAAGGGGATGCCCATCAGTTGGGGAATGGCTGAACAAGTTGTGGTATGTGATTGTGATGAAACATTATCGTGCTACAAGAAATGACGGGTAGGCCGACTTTAGAAAAGCCTGGAAAGACTTACATGAACAGATGCAAAATGAAGTGAGCAGAACCAGAAGAACATTGTACGCAGTAACAGCCACATTGTGCAATGAGGAACTGTGAATGACTTGGCTATTCCCATAGTACAGTGATCCAGGACAGTCCCAAAGGACTCATGGGGAAACATGCTCTCCATCTCCAGAGAAAGAACTGACGTCATCTGAACACAGACTGAAGCATGCTATTTTTCACTTTCCTTTCATTCTGTTGTAATTCTAGTCTCCTTGTACAAAATGACTAATTTACATGATTGTACGTGTATAACCTATATCAGATAACTTACCATCTAGGGAGGAAGCGAGGGAAGGATAGAATTTGGAACTCAAAACTTTTTTTTAAAATGTTAAAAATTGTTTTAACATGTAGGAGAAAAAATGAAACATTTTAAAAAATTTATTCACTTTTAGTTTTCAGCATTTACTTTTATAAGATTTTGAGTTCTAAATTTTCCCCCTCCCCAAGATGACATGCAATCTAATATAGGCTATACATGTACAATCATGTTAAACATATTTCCACATTAATCATGTTGTGAAAGAAGAATCAGAACAAAACAAGAAAAAAAATAAGAAAATACTATGCTGCGATCTGCATTCAGACTCCATAGTTCTTTCTCTGGATGTGAGTAGCATTTTCCATCATGAGCCTTTTTGGAATTGTCTTAGGTCATTGCATTGATGAGAAGAGCTAAGTCTAACAAAGTTGGTCATCACACAGTGTTATTACTGTGTACAATGTTCTCCTGGTTCTGCTCACTTTGCTCAGCATCAGTTCATAAAAGTCTTTTCAGAGGGGCAGCTGGGTGGCGCAGTGGATAGAGCACCAGTCTGAAGTCAGGAGGACCTGAGTTCAAGTGCGGCCTCAGACACATAACACTAGCTGTGTGACCCTGGGCAAGTCACTTAACCCCATTGCCTCACCAAAAAAATAAATAAATAAGTCTTCAGATTTTTCTGAAGTCTGCCTGCTCATCATTTCTAATGAAACAATAGTATTCCATTACATTCATATACCATAACTTGTTCAATCATTCCCCAATTGATGGACATCCCCTCAATTTCCATTTCTTTGTCACCACAAAAAGAGCTGCTATAAATATTTTTGTACATGTGGGTCATTTTCCTGTTTTGTCATATTAGCCAATCTGGTAGGTGTTGATGTTGCTTTAATTTGCATTTCTCTAATCAATAGTGATTTAGAGCATTTTTTCATATGAGTATAGATAGCTTTAATTTCTTCATCTGAAAACTGCCTGTTCATATCCTTTGACCATTTAACAATTGGAGAATGACTTGTATTCTTATAAATTTGACTCAGTTCTCTATGTATTTTAGCAATGAGACCTTTAAAAATGAAATATTCTTTTCTAAAAATAGGAGTTTTAGCTTTCTGTTCTATGGGAATAAATGGACAGTTCTAATGGCTACATGTCTCTTTCTCTTTCTAGGTCCTGGTTAGATAGTAATGAAAAAAATGCCATTAAAAAGCTGAACAGTAGTTTGCCACTAAGAGAGGAACTAGACCGTTTGAAAAACCAGCTGTCTCATCAGCTCCTGCTCTCAGATATCAGGTAATAATGCAGAGGTCAAACTGAGCATGTGCTGCCTCCTGGCCCAGCTTCCTTCCCTTCAGCTAAGAGGTGCATCTTTAGCTTTATTCTTTTTGTCTTCAGTGTTCTTCCATTTTGTTTCGTCAGTAATGGCTGGACATATATATAGATAGCACTTAAGTGTTTTCATAGTGCTCTTCAGAGCACGCTGTGGGATCATAGTTTTAGAACTGAAAGAGGGGTCCTTAAGGACAGTCTCACTTAGCCTCCTTTTGTAAATGCAGAAATAGGGGTCTCAGAGCCACCCGGGCACAGGTGGGATTCAAACTCAGCTCCCCTGACTCCAAGTCTAGACTCTGACCATTGGGCAACACAGCCTCTGCACTCAAGACACTCTGCAGTGCTGTGCAGCAAGGACTATGGGCATATTTATCCTCATTTTATGTATTGGGAAAGGGGGGGCTTAAAGAGGTAACAGGACTTGTCTAAAATCATACAATTTGGTCCCCAGTAGGATTTGAACCCAAATCTCTTTCAACTCTTCCATGTTGTCTTCTATAAAAAACTTGTGACCTATCCCCTAAAACCAAAGTTCTAGGCTTACACAGTGGATTCTATCTTGGAGGCTACTCATATAATACAGCTCTTTAGCTCATGCCTACATACATAGTTTGCCCGGAAGCATCACTATTTGACTCTCCAACCAAAGGAACAAGGTCCTCAGCTCCCATGCAAGCACTCAGGCTAACAATGCATTAAATGTAGGGCGAGCAGTAGGTCATCCGTTACAGAGGCCATAGACAGCCAGGATAACTCTCTTTCCCTCTCTGCTACTGTTCCACTTCTCTAGGGACTTATAAAGTCATAGAATCACAGAATTTGAGTGTTGGAAGGGATATCAGTGACTTTCTAATCCAGTCCTTACATAAAGAGTCCCCACCATAACATCCTGGACAAGTGTTTTGTCTTATGTTACTGCCCCAGGGTTGGAGGGAAGTACTCTACTCTTCCTTCCAAAGGGCCCCACCAGTCCTCCAGATTTACTCTTCTGTGCTAGTTGGGTTCTCCCTCCTTGCGAAGTAGAAATATCTTCTTATCAATAAGAATGAGCCCTGTCACTGCCAACTTGTACAGTGCACAGAACTCACATGGTCCTTGAAAGGCAAGGTCCCGGTTCACTGCTCTACATTACAACTCTCTTATTTGCTTCTGTTTGGCTTACTTGCCCTCTTGGGCTAGGACCTTGACATGGTCCGGGAACTCCCCTGTTTGGACCTCCTTTACTGCTCTCCCATTTCTTCTCCATTTCAGCCATATCTGGGATCAAGAAGTTCCCTGGGAAACTCCGTGAATATTCAGCTTTGCCCCACAACCATTCAGGGAGCCCAGACCATGATTTTTGTGTGTAGCACTAGGAGGAAGACTGAGGGAGGGAAGGAATAAAGGAAGGAAGGGATGGAGAAAGAAGAGAGGAAACAAGTCATCTCCAACTCTTCATGACAACATGGACCCCACACCCCGGGCCTTTCTGTCCTCCGCCATCTCTCAAAGTCCGAGCTCATGGTCATTGCTTCCATGACACCTCTATCCATCTCATCCTCCGCTGTCCCATTTTCCTTTTGCCTTCAGTCTTTCCAAACATCAGGATCTTTTCCAGTGAGTTCCATCTTCTCCTTATGTGGCCAAAGTATTTAAACATTAGCTTCAGCATTTGACCGTCCAGTAAATAGTCTGAGTTAATACTGAAAGAAATTGACTGATTTGATCTCTTCGCTGTCCAAGAGACTCTCAAAAGTCTTTTTCAGCACCACAATTCAAAAGCATTTATTATGCAGTCCTCTGCCTTCCTTGCAGTCCAACTCATACAGCCATACATTGCTACTGGAAAACCATGCTTTGACTATGTAGACTTTTGTCAGCAAAGTGATGTAGCCAGATTTACCACAGCTTTCCTTCCAAGGAGCAAGCATCTTTTAATTTCATGGCTGTGGTTGCTGTCTGCAGTGATCTTTGAGCCCAATGATGTAAAATCTGATACTGCTTCTATTTCGTCTCCCTCTATTTGCCAGGAAATGATGGGACCAGTTGCCAAGATCTTTTTTTTTTTATGTTAAGCTTCAAGTCAGTTTTTACTCTCCTCTTATACTCTTATCAAGAGGCTTCTTAATTCCTCTTCACTTTTTGTCATCAGAGTGGCATCATCTGCATATGTGAGACTGTTGATATTTTTCCCGGCAACCTGAATTCTGGCTTTTGATTCATCCAGCCTGGCATTTCACATAATGTATTCTGCATATAAGTTAAATAGATAAGGTGACAATACACAGCCTTGTTGTACTCCTTTTCCAATCTTAAACCAGTCACTTCTTCCATGTTCAATTCTGACTGTTGCTTCTTGGTCCACATACAGTTTCCTCAGGAGACGAGTAAGATGATTTGGTACTCCCATCTTGTTGAAGTCTTGCCACATTTTGTCGTGATCCACAATCAAAGGCTTTGGTGTAATCAGTGAAGTAGAAGTAGATGTTTTCTGGAACTCCCTTGCTTTCTCCATAGTCCAGTGAATGTTGGCAATTTGGTCTCTAGTTCCTCTGCCTCTTTAAAAACCAGCCTGTTCTTTGGGTAATTCTCAAATCACGTTGCTGAAGCTTAGCTTGCAGCATCTTAAGCATAACCTTGCTGGACTATGAAATGAATGCAGTTGTTTGGTAATCTGAACATTCCTTGGCATTGCCCTCCTTTAGGACTCGGACATAAATTGATCTTTTCCAATCCAGCAGCTGCTGTTGAGTTTTCCAAATTTGCCGCCATAGTGAGTGCAACACTTTAACAGCATCATCTGTTAGGATTTGAAATAGCTCAGCTGGAATTCCATCACCTCCACTAGCCTTATTGTTCGCAGTGCTTCCTAAGGCCCACTTGACTTCCCCCTCTAGGCTGTCTGGCTCTAGATCAGTAACCACACCATTGTGGTTATCAGTGATGTTGAGATCTTTCTTGTATAGTTCTGTGTGTTCTTGCCACCTCTTAATCTCCTCTGCTTTTGTTAAATTTCTGCCATTTTTGTCTTTTGTCATGCCTATTTTTGCATGAAATGTTCCTTTGATATTTCTGATTTTGTTGATCTCTTGTCTTTTCCATTCTATTGTTTCCTGTTTCTGAACGAGAGAAATAAAGTGGCCCTCATAGTCAATAAAAGGGTGATAAAAGCAGTACTGGGGTAGAATGTCAAATGACAATGCTGTTTGTTAGAATCCAAGGCAAACCATTCAGCATCACAGTAATACCACTCTATACTCCAACCAGTGATGTTGAGGAGGCCAAGGTTGATCAGTGCTAAGAATACCTGCAGTATCTTCTAGAAATAATAAGATGTCACATCCATCACAGGGGATTGGCATGCTCAAGTAGGAAGCCAACAGATAATTGGAATAACAGGCAAGGTTGGCCTTGGAGTCCAAACTGAAGCAGGGCAGAGACTAACAGAGTTTGGTCAGAATAACTCGCTGGTCATAGCAGGCACTCTTTTCAGTCACCCCAAAGCCGACTGTGCACATGGACATTGCCAGGTGGTCAATATCACAATCAGATTGGTTGTGTACTTTGTGGAGAAGCTTTACACAGTCAGTTAAAGCAAGACCTGGAGCTGACTGGGGCTCAGACCATGAGCTGCTTATTCCAAAATTCAGACTGAAATTGGAGAAAGTAGGGAAAACCTTCAGACCATATAAGTATGTCCTAAATCACATCTCTATGAACATGAAGCGGGGGCGACAAATAGATTTAAGGGATTAGATCTGGTGATTAGAGTACCTGAAGGGCTGTGTGGATAGAGGTTTGCAGTATTGTATAGGAGGCAGCAGCAGAAACACCCCAAAGAAAAAGAAGAGCAAGAAATGGCGTCTGATGAAGATTTACAGATAGCTGAGGATAGAAGGAAAGGGAAAGAGATCCCCGGCTGAAGGCAGAATGCCAGAGAGTAAAGCACCTATTATGCATCGTGTTTTACCGATATTATCTCATTTGATCCTCACAACAACCCTGGGAGGTGGGTGCTGGTATTATCCACATTTTACAGTTGAGGAAACTGAGGCAGTCAGAGGGCAAGTGACTTGCCCAGAGTCACTCAGCTAGTAAGTGTTATGTGTCTGAGGCCAGATTTGAACTCAGGTCCTCCTGAGTCCAGGGCTGGTGCTGTATGCGCTGCACTACCTTGCTGCTCCCATTTCAAATATTTTTAAAAGCCAAATCATTCCATATTGGTCTCAGTATGGAAAGTATTGAGACCATATACCTTTAAAATCATAAATAAAATATCTCTGAAAGAAATACACAATTTAAAAAATCACAGTTGTAGACCACAGGCAGGTTTTATTCAGTCCAGATTTATTCGGACTAGCAGAGCATGTAATATACATGAAAATGACTTTCCAGGGCAGCTAGGTGGCACAGTGGATAGAGCACTGGTCCTGGATTCAGGAGGACCTAAGTTCAAATCCGGCCTCAGACACATAACACATACTAGCTGTGTGACCCTGGACAAGTCACTTAACCCCATTGCCTATCCAAAAAAAAAAAAAAAATGACTTTCCACATCAAAAACTCATTTCTATAAGGTAAGATTTTTAGAATGTGGCGTGATAAGTTTGCTAGGGATTTTTAGGAAAATGAAAGGATTTTATTAAGAAAGCAGAAAATAATCATTTTTAGTCTTGACAGAGAAGAAAGATAGACATTTCAAATGAGAAAACTACCAATGTAGGTTAGTACCTGCTTTGCAATTTCTCATCCAAGAGAGCTGCCTGGGCCCCTGAAAGGTCAGGTGACATACCCAAGGTCATACAGACAGTCTAGGTCAGGGGCTGGCCTAGAACCCAAGTGTTCCCAGCTCTGAGGCTGCCTCTTGCTGTCTGTTGCCTTTCTCTACCCCTCAATCTTGGCAAAGCAGGTCATATTTTTAATACTTTTCTCCCTTGCTTTATAAACCTCTATTATAAGCTTTAAAATTTTAGTTTGTTTATTCATTTTTCAAATCTGTAGATTCTTCAACCCAGCTACCTTTTCAGTTCAGGAAAACAGACCCAATTCTGTAGTTTTTTCCTTGGTTGCTTTCTCAAAGGCTCTTGACAGAGCTGGTGTAGAGATACGCCTGTCGCACACCTGCCTCCGAAGACTGCTCTTCGCAGCTTCGGCAGGCCGTCTCCATCTCCCACATGCGCCTGATTCCCCCGAATGTGGTGGTGATGTCGTCTCTGTGCTCTCTTTATGTAGGTGGCAGAGGAGCTGGGGGATTGCTCACCGCTGTGGCCAGCTGCATAGCCTAGGTCGCTTAGCCCAGCAAAACCTGCAAGTCCTTCAGAATGTTCAAGGTGCGTCTCTGAGATCGCTTCTCCCATGATGGAGCTGAGAACTTTCTTTTCTCGGTGTCATTCTAAAATTATTTTGCTGCCAGTGCCGTATTTCACATTCATGGAGAAATACACATGTGTGTCTAAAAGCTGGCATAGGTATGAGTGTTTCCACTGGGGAATCTCAGAATGGGAGCCTTGCCGATAAAATAAGGGCTAAATAACGTACTCATCTTGATGCCAGTTCTCTCTAAATGAGGTAGCAAGCTTAAGCTAAGCACCATGCAGACTTCTGTGTGTAATAAAGGATTTCTGTTTTTATTATCAGGTTGTACAATAATATTCACAGACCGGTCAGGCATGAGTGCCTTGGGCCATATCATGCTAGGAACCATGGACGTTCATCACCAGTGGACCAAAGTAAGGAAAAGCTGAAAGCAAGAATATTAAATGTTTTCAAAGGCATCTGTATAGTTTTTGTCTAAAATACTATCTTCATAAGTGTAAAATGTTCAAAGTGATCAGTATTTTAGCCCTCAGTGGCTACTTTTGCAGTACCATCCTATCATTGTCTAACATATGGATAAAAATTTACTGTGTCAAAATATCCGGATTTTGGGTGTCAAGTAGGTAGGATAATTGGAAGAAGGCCTTGGTTTATTTTTCCCAGTTTTTATTTTAAATTTTTACCATTTTGTCAGCACAGCCTGAAAGCCTTCATTCTGTTTTATCAGACTCTACTTCTTCAGCTCTCTTTACCACACTATGATTTTTCATTGTTTTGCCTTCTTTTCTCTAAGTAATGAATGGCAAGATACATCTCCCCATTTGTTCTTTTTATTTCTTGTTGCGTTTAATATGTTTTTCTCTCTCAATTACTCCATTCGTTCTGATAAACGTTATTTGGTGGTATTTTCTGTAATTACTATGTCAAGAACTGGTCACCTGCCCCAGTAAGCGCCCAGGGTGGCCAGGACAACCAATCCCTTACCATTACCTCAAAATTTATTTGAGTCACTTTCCCCCTACGGCTAGATGTGGGAATCTTCCATTCCAGGCTCTTGCTCTGCCATGATTGGATTGTTTAAAATCCACTGAAGAGAGATCAGTAAAGGAGTGTAGAGGATTTAGGATTCTCTAGATGCTTCTATTTTCTCTGTGCTTTCTGGATAATGGTAAGGATCTCCTTGCTTCCCACGAAGCCAGTTCCAGGCCTTGCCACCATTTTGTGTTGGGAAATACATAGGCAGTTCAACTATAAAAATGCTCACTTCATAGTGTATGTTTCTGTATAGGATGACTATTCGGATGCAGTAAGCAGGTGTTCTGATACACACTCACGTCCTTAGATTGCGATCTCATCATGGTCCCTGCTCGTTGTCTCGTTCTGGGCCGTCCTCGTCCACAGCTTTTCTGACCTCCGCCATGGACGATCTGCCCGGCAGGCTGAGGGGCCGTCCTCGTGGCCCTTGTTTTGATCCCAGAACATCCTCAGACTGTGTGCTGTCCTTCTGTCTTATCACATGATCCCCCCACCTTCCTTTCTCTCATTTTTGATGTATTTCGTACAGTTTCCCCAAAACAAGGCAGCCTGCCCTATTTCTCATCTCATTCAGGTCTTAGCTTAGCTCATATTCTGTCCACAACGTGCCCATCCACATACAGGTTGGTCAGTAACCTCAGAGCGTCCACGCGGCCCCATGGCGTGGTCTGTCTATTCCTTGATCCGCATGGTTTTTCCTCTTTAGTCCCCAAGGCCAGTCTCTTCTTCCGTTTGCTTTAGTGATACTCTTGATGTATGCACAGACCACTCTCACACCTATTTCAGAGACATGGGAAAGAAGAGGTAGGCTTAGCACCTGCTGGGGCCTTCCCCATCGTGTCCACGTCAGAATCTCATCTCTTCCTTCCTTCTCCAGGAAGCCTTTGCTCTTCCTCCCCGGCTGTTAGTGTCCTCCCCTCTCAGAGCATTTCTCGTGTCTGCTTAGAGCCGGCTGGCCCGGCTCATCATCGGTGCATAGTAAAGGCTTGTTGGTCCTCAAGGGATGCTCCTGTGCCTCATCTCCCCTTCCTCCCTCCCCTGTGCTCCTGTCTGCACAGTGGTGGTGGGCGGGGTGCCTTCAGCCGGGCAGCGCCTCCCTCCTTCCTAATGGAACGCACCCAGTACATTGGAGGCCGCGCATAATGGCTCCGTGGCCCTCAGTGAGGAAAAGAAGTCTGCCCCATCTCCTGTGTGTTTGTGGTTCCTGCTCCACTCTCATCCAGATGCTCTCAGGGTCACCCTCCGCCGCTTGGTGCTGTGGAGTACTCATAAACTCCCTCACTCCCTTCGTCATATTCTGCTGGCTACTGTGTCTCTCCTCTCCACCTGCCAGGAAATGAAGTATTTGATGTCTGAAGGAGTTTCTGGCCTTCTTATTGCAGGTTCATCAGTTAAAATTCTCAGGAAAATAGTTTACCACTTAGTAATTGGACAAAGTACAGCAACTATGTCTTTCTAGGAGTTTAGCGCTGAAAGAGAGGAGAAATACAACGTGATGACTTAAAGATGTTGGCAGGCAAAGGGCTATAAATAAAACCAGGCATCCCCTTTAACCAAGCAATTCCACTACTAGGTCTGTATCTCACAGAGATAAAAAACAAAAAAAAAGGACCTATATGTGCAAAAATATTTATAGCAACTCTTTTCTGGTGGCAAAGATTTGGAAATTGAGGGGATGTCCATCAATTGGGGAATGGCTGAACAAGTTATTGTATGTGATTGTAATGGAATACTACTACGCTTTTAAGAAATGGTGAGCAGGATGCTCTCAGAAAAACATGGAAAAACGTACATAAGCTGATGCAAAGTGAGATGAGCAGAACCAGGAGAACATTGTACACAGTAACAGCCACATTGTACAATGATCTGCTGTGATTAACTTAGCTATTCTCAGCAATACAATGGTCCAAGACAGTTCTGTAGGACTTAGGATGAAAGGTGCTGTCCATCTCCAGAGAAAGAGCTAGGAGAGCCTGAATGCAGATGGAAGGTACTTTCTCTTTATTTTTCCTGGATTTGATTTTTTTTGACTGTTTTCTTTCACAGAATGACTTCTTTGGAAATGTGTTCTGCACGACTACATATATATATCCTACGTCAAATTGGGGAGAAGGGAGGGAGAGAATTAGGAACTCAAAATTGAAAAAAAAATGTTAAAATTGTTTGTACATGTAATTGGGAAAAAATAAAGTATTAAATAAGATTTAATTTTTTAAAAGATGTCGATAGGGTCTCAATAAGTATTTTAGGATAGGAAAGATTTAAGCGTATTTATGGTTAAAAGCAAAAGAGCCAGCAGATAGGGAGAAATTGATCAGTGGGTCAGAATCTAAATCAGATCCCTTACTAACATTTAATTTATAAAAAATACTTTCAGGACAGGGTCAGGCTTTTGGCAAAAACAAAACAAGCAATAGGGTATTATAATTCAAGTTAAAATTCAATTCATCAAGCATGTGTTAGGTAGGTGCTGTGCTAAGCACTTGGAGTACAAAGACAGGAAAAGAAGCTGTGCCCTGAAAGAGCTCTCTGTCTAATGAGGAAGGCCCTATGCAAACAAGATGCACGTGGAATAAAGTGGAGCGAGGCGAGGATTTCAGATGAGACCACTGCTCTTAAAAACTTTGAAGCCTCTTGCCTTGCATCAACTCCCTGCCTTTCTGATCAGGGTTGACATCTTCCAGACCCAAGATCAGCTGTTAAAATTGAACAGGATGGCTAGAAGTAGATCATCCCTTAGGAGAATGTGAACATTGACATACACGAATGGCCTAAATAAGATTAAATTAGAAAAGAACAGAATGATTTTTTTCTTTCCGCAAAAAAATTAGTTATGGGGGGAAATTAGGTGGCGCCAGAGTGCACAGAGCACTAGGCCTGGGGTCAGGAAGACTCATCTTCCTCAGTTCAAATCTGGCCTCAGACACTTCCTAGCTGTGTGACTCTGGGTAAGTCATTTCACTCTGCTTGCCTCAGTTGTCTCATCTGTAAAATGGACTGGAGAAGGAAATAGCAAAACTACTTCAATATCTCTGCCAAAAAAACCCTCAATACGGTCACACGGTAGTTATAGACCTTTTTTTTTTTTCTCCAGTTGCTAATCATATTCCCAAGACAGATTTTTCTCCACATCACTTTATTACAGTAGATCAGTTGAAAAGATGAGAACTCGAATCCAGATTCTCTTTCCGGTGCCCTTTGTCCCCATTTTCAGCCATCCAGAGCTAAATTAAGCTCCTCTCGTGAGCGTTTTGCTGTGTCGTGGTTCCCGAGGCTGAATTTCCTAGAAGCTCAGCCCTGTGTTTGGGGAGCGTTTCTCTCTTCTCTCTGGCACGTTTGCTCTACTCCAAAGATCCCCACCATTACTCGTTTCTCGGACTGGCTGCCTGCATTCTGGGCCGTCCTTTTACACAGATCATTCCGTTTTGTTGTTTTACCGTGTCTTGGTTGCATTTAACGAAGCTCTGACTTCTCCCCTCTTTGGGCCACAGCTCTTTGAAAGGTTGCCCAGTTACTTTGCCCTCCAGAGGAAGCTGATGCTTTTAGAGGACCGGATCAGCCACCTGCTGGGTGGCATCCAGGTGGTCTACGTGGAGGAGCTGCAGCCAGCGCTGACCCTTGAGGAATACTACTCTCTCCTCGACGGCTTCTATAGCCGGCTTCTGAAGAGCAGGCCCCCCTTCCACCCGCACAGTCTCCGGGGCCTGCAGATGGTCCTGGACAGGTGAGCCTGGGCTCTCTCTGCTGGGCTTCTGCATGGTGGTCATGCCCTCTCAGTTAGGAAGAGGGAGCTGAGTCGTGAATGCTGGCGCAGCCGTCCTGGCCAGCGGCGAGAGGCCGCGGGATTGTGTCGCTGGCCAGACGCTGGTGTCAGTCTGGGTGGACAGGGGGGAGGAGGCGTGGACGTCTGACGTGGAGCTCTCTGTGGCTTGTTCCCCATCACGTAGCAATGGCGACTGTGTCCAGAAGGTCCGAGGACAAAGGTGGTGCTGTGTTTCATTTCCCTTTCTCTCCAGCGACAGGTACTCTCCCAGCCTGCATGAACTCGGTTACTTCAACATCCCAACACTGTGCGACCCCGTGTCCCTGCCGTGGTTTATTTTCACCAAAGCAGCCCAAGCCCGAGAAAACATGAAAAGAAAGGATGAGTAAGTATTTGTCTTCTCCCGTGAAAGGGCATCGTCCAGCTCTTTTTAACATTTGCGACTTCCCTGGTCAGCCCCAGTGCAGGTATTGAAACCTAGAAGGGACCTCTGAGGTCATCGACAGTGGGAGGGCCCCAGGCTCCACGGAGGGGCCGGGACCCTGGGCACAGTCTGGCAGGCGGCCCCTCTGCTTCTGCTCCTTCTCGAGATTAGACGGGCCTCAAAGGAGTTAGGACCAGCCTTTGGCCCTTGGGGGCTGGCAGTGCCTTCCCTGTGCCTCCCTCAGCCCGTAAGAAGACGCCACGGTGATGTTTATGCCCATTCTGAGCTGAGGGGGCTGAGGCAGGATGGGGAGCAGGAGGAAGAGTGTTCCAAGGCATCCCATGAGGCAGGGGCTTTCCCAAAGGCTGGACGCCCTCAACCTGCTCAGGGATGTGGTGGATGGGGAAGGGGACCTTCCAGACCCTTCGCCCTGAGCTCCTTTGGAGGTCGCCTCTGCCTTCCAGTGTGTGTAGCAGGGGCTTCATCAGTGTGTACTTGAATGGGATCACACAAATGGGGAACAGCCTCACTCAAGTCAGGGGGTAAATTACTGATCACGGGGCCTATGGGGCTTCCTTACCGTGTTCTGAGTAGACGTTGCATGGCGGCACCTGGGGTCGATTCCAGGCTGTGTGACCTTCAGCGAGTCACATGCCCGTGGCGTTGTCTGCCAGCCCCAGACAGGTGCTCCTGTGATCCTTCCCACCTCACTCTCATACATTTTCCGTTGCGTTTCATTACGTTCATAACTCCTGATGACTTTCTCATTAATTTCTCAGGTTAAAGGTAATTGAAAATGAATTGATCCACGCGTCCATTAAGAAATTTTCTCTGAAGAAGCTGTACAAGGAGCCTAGCATTTCAAGCGCCCAAATGATTGCCTGCTGTGAGCGACTTCTCGAACAGTCCCTGCCATACCTGGAAGGGATGCACGTCTGTGTCTCACATTTCTATTCTGTTCTGCAAGATGGTGACCTTTGCATTCCCTGGAATTGGAAGAACTAAGGCACTGCCTTGGGAGGCGAGGTCACCAGGAGACATGACTTTAGACTTAACTTATTTAAATCTACGTTTTGATACGACAGTGTGGTCATGCCTCTTGCCAGAGGGGGACGCCTAACTGCTGCTCTGGAAGTAGGACTTCTGGTACCCGCAGGAAAGCTGTTTGTGCGTTTCCAGTTCTCACCTCCCACCTTCCGTGGTGTCCAGAATGATAGACAGGTCTAACTTAGATATATTTTTAGTAGTGGGCAAAAGCCGCTTTTAAACGAAGCGAGAGTTCTACAAAAGAAAAATGATCTATTTTTATACGCACGGCTGTTGGAGTGGGACGTTCGAGGCCCAGGAAAGGAACAGACACGTGATGAAGAAGGAGAAATGAGTTCCTGTTCCTGCAAGCACCTGGCACAGTGCCCGGACACATAGGCGCTTAATCGATGTTTATTGAAGTCCCGGTTCTCACCTTTCTTGTTAAACCCCATCCCTACGTGTTCTGTCTCTAACGGTGGACAGCTGGTATTATCCAAGAGGGGATTTCTAGGAAGCAAAAATGATTTATCCATTTTGAGTCAGAAAAAGGTTAGAATTATCAAAAATTCTGTAGCTATCATATATGATGTCCCTTTGACTTTTTTATAAGCTATTTGGGGCCAGTATATTTGTTACAGTATTACCCACTCTTGATGCTGGAGAGTTTGGTTTGTAGATTATTGCTCCTGTAATTAAGGATTTCCTGTCAATTTGTAGCAGTCTGTGATTTAGAATCGCGTTTCTGGCTGCACGTGAGTCAACTCTGGTCACCCCTGGAGGTGGCTGAAGGCCCAGATCCTCAGCCCAGGGCTGAGGTCAAGGATCCTTGCCAGGCCTTCCCAGCCCAGGCTTCCCTGGCTCTCTCCAGGTGCCAGACACTTGCCTGGTGCAGTGGCCGCTGCCTCTGGGTTCCTGCTGCTGTCACACTGTGGGGTTTGTCCCCAGGTCTCCAATGCCACGGCCCCCTCCTGAGCATCCTGGAGCGTCACCAGTGACTTCTCTTCCTAGAGCTGAGTGTTTTTAGGATGGCGTCTTCATGTATTGCGTGGCTCCTCCCTCCCTGGGGTCTTTCCCCAGAATGTTGAGAGCCAGGCCTGTTCTCCGTGGCTGTTCGCCATCCGCAGACACTCCTTGACAGGGAAGGCAGGTAATGGTCTGGCTCAGATTCCCTGGGTACCACTGGGGCATCACTGAAAATGCCTGTTTCCAGCGTGTGCTGTTAGACTGAAAACTTTGGAAGAGATTAGGTCAGATTTAAGCTAATCTGAAACCTACATTCAGAAATCGTAATCTGAACAATTCAAATAAAAATTGGAAAGTAATTCTGGATTCCAAGAAAGTATTGATTTATACGGTTAGTGTTTGTAGATGCCAACATTGTCCTTTTTACCTCTGCAGAAATCTGCTACAAAAAAACTTCTGTCTTTTAGAATGAATGTCTGCTGCCTCGGAACATTTGACCAAACCTACAGATAACCCAAAAACTGCCGTTTTATCAGTAATTTTCAGATGAAAAAACTTAGATTATTCCCCTTTGTAAGATTAACTAAAATGTAATTTCCAGTAGTATGTTTTGAACTGGATTTTGCCTCTAAGAACTGATCGTTGTTATACAATAAATATAATCTGTATTAACCATATAAATATCTTCCTTACTATTTTGTTACTAACAGACTGTTTTCTGTTCATTGAAAAGAAAAGATGTTTCTTTTATTTGACAAATGCCTTGCCGATCGGTTATTGGCCCACCCAGTAGGTACTGAGTCAGCACTAAGCTAGTTACGGGGGTGGCAGGGGAGACAAGAAAACTTGACCCTGGCCCACCATTTGTCACAGAGGAAGGATGAACACGCATGAAGACAGCAAAGGCATAACTAGGACATGGCGTCAGTGAGAGAACATGGGACCTGGGGTTACTGGCTAGGTGTCCCCGGGCACGTGGTTTGGACTTTCTGAGCCTCAGTTTCCTCGTCTATAAAACAGAGACGATGACACTAGCACCAGCTAGGGAGCCAGGGCAGGTGTGAGGAAGGGCCCCCTTAGAGCCACGTCTCCCTGTGAAGGATTCCATTTTAGTTCAGCATTTTCACATACTGACATCGACAACGGGCCCCGAGCTAGCCAGGACGAGATCCTGGCACATTCAATGAACTGGGTCCATTTCTGTTTTTTAAAAATCATCTAAGGGGCAGCGAGGTGGCGCAGTACATAGAGCTCCAGCCTTGGAGTCGGGAGGACCTGAGTTCAAATCCAGCCTCAGACACTTGATACTTACTAGCTGTGTGACCCTGGGCAAGTCACTTAACCCCGATTGCCTGGCCCCCCCCCCAAAAAAAATCATCCAAAACACCTGGGACTTTGATTCTCCTTCAAGTTCCCCGGAAAACATTCCCTAGTCGCAAGGAAGAGAAAGAGAAACAGCACCATGGCAGCCAGAACAGATCGTGAGCCCAGCAGGCAGAAGCCCTCGGCTCCCGGCTCTGTCCTGCCTTCTCTAGGCCTGAGATTTCTCCCTCTGGCTCCGGGCCTCCCCTCCCAGCAGCCTTCACTCCTGCTTGGCCTGTTGGCCCCCACAGAGGTCAGATAGGGCAGGTCAAAAGGAGAGCAGGGGGCAAGGAAGGACCCCTCATGCTCCAGGCTCTCCCACTCCAAAAATGGAGCCCATGACGCTGTTGGGGAGTCTGGCCAGGCTAGTGTTTGCTCAGAACGAAAACAAGTGTGTCGGTCGATATGATGACACGCCCGCGCTCAGGTGTGTACTTGGACACATACCCAGGCAAGTTACTGGCCTGTTTTCCAGCAGTCTGATTCCATACAAGGTGACTTTTATCCAGGTTGCCTCATTTGTCAAATAGATTTCATGTTTAAAAGACAGAAACAGTCCTGGGCCCAAGGATTCTAAAAAATTCTAAAAAGCTCAGTGGTTTCACTTTTGAAAGAGGAGGAATAGTGTAGAACAGGTATTCCTTTAAATGAGTCTTTCTCACATAGAGGCAGCCCTGGCCTAGTAGAGAGAAGGCCGGCCTTGGAATCAGGGAGAAGGCTCAAGTCCCATCTTGGACACATCTGTCTGGGGGTCTCTGGGCAAATCCCTTAGCCTTTCAGGAATAAAGCTCTGCAGAGAAAACGCTGACTTGCCCAGGGAAAGGGAGCTCCCTACAGGAATGAAATCACAGGGCCAGAGCCTATGCTATGGTGATCTACGCGGCCATGCTGTGATGGCGCCATGTTGTCTGGGAGAAAAGTCCTTCTGAAATGCTGAGGCTCAGCCTTCTCAAAATTTAAAATTCTGCTCCTTTTTCCCTGTCTTGCTAACAGAGTGGGTGGCTGGGGTCCCTTGCAGGATTAAAATCTCTCTTGTTTATCCTCTTCCAAGTAGTGAATGGAAATAAATGCCCGGCATAAGTTGGGTGCTGTTTCCATGTAAAACCAACCATAAAAGGTGTCAGTCATCACAAGTGAGACTGTAGTAATGAGATTATACCAACTGCCCAAAGGCATCCCGCATACAAGATGAAACTGAGGACCTTGTCATTCCCCACTTGCCTTGAGGGTGCTTGACTTCTCTCAACCTCTTCTCCCACCCCTTGCTTTGTCCTCACAGTGCAACAAGAAACAATCATAATACATGTACACAGGGCTTGAAAGTTCACCAAGCACTATCCTCACAAACCTTTGAAGAATGTATTGCAAGTGTGATTATCTCCATGTTACAGATGAAGAAACTGAGACTCTAAGGTGAAGACAGCAATTTTTTTTTTTAACAGGGAAAGGTTAAAGGATTCCCGTAAGTGATGAATTTCTACAACCTGATCCAAACCTAGGTCTCCTGACTCCAGATCTCCAGCCCTTTTTTATGAGCATCATGTTTATAGGTGCAAGAAAACTAGTGTACATACCTCACAAATCCCAGAAAGCACATTATCTGGTCCTGCCTTGCTCTTTACCTCCTCCTCATTTAGGAATTCAATTCATTTCAATTCAAGTCATCAAGCATTTATTAAGTGTTTGCTACGCGTAAGTAGTTTACTCTGTGTTTGCACTGTGCTCAGGTACAAAGATAAAAACTAAATAATCCATGGCCTCACATGTTCTACTGCAAAAAGCAAAGGAAAATGACTAGACAAAAAATAATGTTTCTTGAATAAGTCCAGAGCTTGACTTGTTAATGTGGTAATAGTTATGTTATAAATTCATGTATTTGGAGTGTCTGTCCATTGGAGAATAGCTGAACAAATTATGGTCTGTGAGTATTAATTGAATACTGTTATTTTATAAGTGGTGAGGAATAGATAAAATTTAAAAGTCCACAAACAGAATCAATGCAGTCAAAATTAGAATGGAATCAGGTAAATAGGGAAGATCTTTGTAGCAAATTTCTCTGATAAAGATATACAGGGAATTGATTCACATTTATAAGAATAAGAACCATTCTCCAATTGATAAGCATTTTTCAGACAAAGAAATCCAAACTATCTATCCATATTTTTAAAATCTTCTAAATAATAAGTTGATAAATGTAAATTAAAATATCTCTAAGATTCTACCTCATACCGATCAGTCTGGCAAAGTTGACAAGAAAGGAAGGAAAGAAGAAAGGGAAGAAAGAAGGAAGGAAAGAAAGAAGAAAAGATAGAAAAAAGAAAGAGAGAAAAATGACATATGCTGGAGAGGCTGTGAGGAAACAGGTGTATTGATGCAGTCGCTCTAGGTGGAGCTGTGAACTGGTCTAGCTATTCTGGAAAGAGCTATTAAACTGTGCATACCCCTTGACCCAGCTATACCACCAATGGGTCTGTACTCCAAAGAGATAAAGAAAAAGGGAAAAGACCCAAAAGTACAAAAATATTTACAGCAGCTCTTTTTGTAGTGGCAAAGAAATGGAAACTGAGGAAGCACCCATCAGTTGGAAAAAGCTGAGCAAGTTATAGAAAATGTGATGGAACCTTATTGTGCTCTAAGAAATGATGAAGAGGGGCAGCTAGGTGGCACAATGGATAAAGCACTAGCCCTGGATTCAGGAGGACCTGAGTTCAAATCCAGCCTCAGACACATAACACTTACTAGTTGTGTAACCCTGGGCAAGTCACTTAACCCCATTGCCTAGCCAAAAAAAAAAAAAAATCATGATGAAGGGAACAGTTTCAGAGAAACCTAGGAAGATTTGTACAAACTGATGCAAAGTGAGATGAGCAGAACCAGAAAAGCAATTTATGTAATAACAACATTGTAAAGACAAGTAATTTTGAAAGATTTAGGAGCACAAATCAACACAATTTACCAATCATAATTCCAATTCTCACAATGAAACATACTACCCGCCTTCTGAGGTCATTTACTCAGAGAATAGATTCTTTTTTATATAGCCAATGAGGGAATTTGTTTTGCTTTACTTTGTATGTTTGTTATAAGGGGGATTTTCCCCCAATCGGAGGGAAGAGGTGCATGTGTGAAAGGAATGTGGGAGAGAGAGAAAATAGATTTAAGTGAAATTTTTTTGAATTTCTGTAAACACTACTGTGTAATGGTTTTCACAATGGGTCAAGTTTGGCCTGGCCAAAGAATCCCTCAGGTAGGGGCCAACCTACTGACAAGCCAGTATTTAGGTTGATCCTCCACAAGCAGACTTAGTCTTGTCCCCAACTCCATATTCAAAAGTCTTTCCAGCATGAAAGCACCTGCCATCATCTGCACTAAACTGGTCCAGCTTCCCAAACCCACCATCAGCCTGCCATGCGGAGGTGGGAAAGTATTCACGCCTGATGATCGTCAGGCTTCGTAATATCCAAACACATAGGACTCAAGGGGGCTGCACCATGTTGGAAATGCCTCACACTTCCCTGATTCTGTATTTAGGGTCAGTCATTCTCTCCCCAAAATGAGACAATTGTAAAGCATTTAGCACAGTGCCTGGTACATAGTAGGAGCTTAATAAATGCTTTTTCTTTATTCCTTCCTTATTCTTATCCTGACCACATGTCACTAACTGATGTCGATATTTCTGCCATCTGCCCTCAGTACCTTGATCTGGCTTTTTAAGGTTTTTGCTACAATGTAGTTAATCTGGACCTAATTCTAGTAATTTGGATTTCTTCTGTGCGGTTACTCCTGTCCTTTATGGATTTATACAAAGCAGAAAGTCTAGTTATAAAAGAAATTATTTTAAATGATTTGTGAGAGGCAGTATGGCCCGAGGGTTAGAAAGCTAGCCTCAGAGCCAGGAAGATTCCACTGTCAAGTTCTGCCATGGACATACATGTGCCGGTTGTGTGACCTTGTGCAAGTCACCTCCCTTTGCCTCAGTTTCCTCAACTGTAAAATGAGGATAACACCACCACCTACCTCCCAGGGTTGCTGTAAGGATCAAATGAGATTATATTTGTCAAGTGTTTAGCTCAGTGCCTGGCGCACAGAAGTGCTAAATAAATGGTTTTTTTCTTCCTCTACCTCCCATCCCCATGCCAGTGAGCTCACATGTCCACGTCCTGTCCCTGTGGGAGAGTGGCTTTACAGGCAGAGCCTACTTTGTTTGAAAAAAAGACAAACTGAAGGAACCGTTTGTTCTGATTTATCAAGGTAAATGTTTTACCATCCAGGCTGGG